GAAAAAATGTTCAGATTCTATTTTCATCCCAACAGATTTCCCGATATCTAACAATGATATTCTGAAGCAAGACTTTCATTAAAAATTATTAACGAACAAGTACAAGTGAGCTTTGAATTTGTTCGAATTTCCACTAACCTTCAATTTGCTCTCTTGATTTTCGTAAATGTTATCGGCTAGTAGACGAGACGGATTAACTTCAAACCTGTCTAATCTGTCTACTAAACTAATGCAAACCTCGTGCATACAATATGTTGATATGCTGACGGCGGACTTATTTCCCAAGTCAGCCAACTTCAATAACAATTATCATAACATCGTCATCGGACATTATTTGGATTTAAGGTTGTTGACTCTTTAAGTTTTATTCGAATCCCAGAAAACTTTCCAAAGACCTAATACCTTTCTTCGACGTTATGCCTGCTGGCCATAGGCTTATGAGTGTTCTTCGAGCTGGGGTAAGGCAGTGAATAGTCGGTAGAATGTATAAACTTATACTTTCAAGCACAACACACGGTTGGATCCTTCACCTCTAGAAAGGTGATATTTCTTGTACATCCCAATTAGACAGTATAAATAAGTCCGACCGAATAAAGGGCAGTAACTATATACCGGAATTTTAACGATGTGATCTTCCATGTCTTTTGCCGTACCTGATTATCTAGTTACAATTTTTTTTGGGTAAATCGCCACTCATTTTCCTCTTTGGCCTTCGTCTGCATTCCAATCCCAATCACGTATTACTGTTGTATTTATATTTTTCCGTATCGGATTTCCCTATTGGCGTTCATAAAATGTGCACGAGGCAGGTGAATTCCGAGCACCAGAGGCACACCACAACAGGCACAATAGTCTAGATTTTGATACAAACAAGCACTTGGGGATTTCAAGCGCATTCCTTCTAGTTTCCTACAACCTTATCTTATTTTGGAAAAGGACTCCATAGATAAAGTGGCTACTTGTTGGATAGAAGCCAGTGATAATCAAGACGAAAACCAGGAACCATTTTGAGCCATACATAACAAGGAACACTAAACCTTTCGATGATTAGTGTTATATTTTCAAGACTCATTACCAGCATTTTTCATTCTTAAACCATTGTCAACAGATGATTTTATTGGATATCAATCCTCGTTAAGCGAGTAAATTCAATCCACTATATCGTCTCGGATTGGAACTTCTTGGTGTACTTGACGATCTTCTCTTCTTCTCACTGGTCTAAGCAGCTTTCTCTCAAACAAGTATCTCCTGGAAAATACCCCCAAACCTCAATTTCTACTTACTGTACACCCAAAATACCAAGGAAAATCGTTTCTTTGCGATCCATTCACTCACTTTATACCTCACACTTCACATCTCACACCTCACACCTCACACCTATCAACTTGAATCAATAATAACACATCATATCATTTCGATCATCATTGGACATTAACGCGATTAACGACTACGACAATTGATATTGATACCCTTTCGATCCCTTTGTGGAACCCTTTTGATGAATTAACGACCGATTATATATAACTTCACTTGCTGCGAGAGAGATCACCAATTAGAGTTGTACTTACGGACTTTTGATTGAGGCGCGTTGTGTGTGTGTGTTGTGAGAGTGTTGAACACTCGGGAGTGCGGACATCCGTGGTCAAATAGGCGCTCACTCAATCGTAAAAAATGGGCGAATCTAATCATTCTTCACATACCGAACATAATAGAAGGGAGTCTCAAAGTTCGACGCGATTATCGATGCAAATGCAGGACGAAGATGATGAAGATTATGTTTTAGCGGCCATGGGAATATCGAATGGTGGTGGTTACAGACCCTCAGACTCACATCAACATACTTACACTCCACCACCACCACCACAACAAGAACCTAGACAGGAACAACAACCTCAACCCCTATCACCCATAGAAAGACGAAGAGCATCAACACCACCGCCACGACCTTCGAGTACAACAAAACCACGAGGAATTGATTCGTTCGCATTACGAAATGATGGTGGGAATGGTCAAATGTCAAGGGGTCCAACATTCGCGTACTCGGGGGAGAGTGGAAGTGGAAGTGGTTATGGGCTAACAAGGACATCTACTGCAACAAGTATATCGAGCATATCGAGCGAATCAATCATGATGAGACCGGAAAGCCCGTATAGAGGACCTACAGGACCATCACACCCATATAATATGTATAATCAAGACTCACGATTAGCGAGAACAGCGAGCATAGCGACGACTTCAACAATGCCGGCACCACCACAGGAAATGTCGTACACGGGACCAAGCGGACCAACACATCCTTACGGCATGTACCCGCAGAGTACAGTTTCAAGTGATTCCGACCAGTTGCCAATTGCACCCATTCCTGTTGGTTTCCCAGGTCTTAATAATGATTATCAACGAAGATTAGGTCCGGAAGGTGAGGAGGCCGCGGATCTCATTGGACCTGATGGACACACGGAACAACTACCACCTTACACGAAATATCCAGATGAGGCTTTTGCTAGAAAATTACGACCTACATCTATACCAACACCCGTACCTGTACCTACCATTCAAATGCCAGCTCCTATCGTTCCTATATCTGGTGCTGGTGGTATGGGACTAGCGACTCGAAATCCTGAATTTGCCTCTAATGAAGATCTTCGTTCATCTCAATCACGCCAATCATCAAGGAGTATAATGTCAGATCGAAGTTCACATCAAGGCAATCACGCCGACATGGAATATTCCGAAAAGCCTCCACTGAAGAAATGGCAAGTTGTTGCCAAAAGGAAATTATGTGGTATCGTTCCTGTATGGGTTGTTGTTTTGATAGTCTTGGTCTTCGTTCTTTTTGGAATTGTACTTGGAACCGTTTATAACATTTTGAGGCCAAAACATGGTGGTGACCCTAATAGTGGTTCTAGCAAGAAACATCATGATGACGAGTTAGTTTTCATTATCTTATACCTGAGACTAGGACACTAATTTTTTTCTAGGTCAAGCCAAACAACAGTGTATGCGACCATGACCACCACATTCGATGCAACTCCTTTGTCTACTGTACCTGCTTCGCTTCCATCGCTTCCAACTGGAACGTACAACATGCCCCTCACCGTTCCTTCAACTGCTCAGAGTAGTTGTATCATGAACACCGCCGGAAACTCGGCTTGGAGTTGCTCTATAGCAATGACACCACTTGAAATGTCTATTATAGATATTCCGGGCGGTGATGAACTCGCCAATAAGGAAATCTCGATGAATTATGGCAACGCTTCTTTGAATTTCTACCCATACGGCGCCCAACCACCGATTTTGTCGACTGCTCAGGTGCTATCTCTCGTCAATGATTCGGAATATCCTAGTCGAGGTCCCGCCTGGTTTTTCCAAGTGCCATACAATAAGGTAGTTGTATTGCCACAGAAGGCTCTTTCAACAAATATGAAGCGTCAGCAACCTGCCGCGGATTTCATGAGTCGTAAGGGAGTAGCTCAAGCTGGAGATCAACCTTGGTTTTGTTACTGGAATGGAACCTTGTTAGAGGCATTTATTTATGTCAATGAAACTAGTAGCGCGGGTTCTTCCGCCACAGTCACTTCTGGTGGTTCATCTCCAACCAATACTGGCAATGCATATGGTGCGAGCACTTACTCTCCAGATGTACCTCCTTCTACAACTGGAGTTCAATCACAACAATCCTCTTCATCAGGGTCTTCTCAAAACAACCTTCAGTTCTTACCTCAATACCCTAAAGTCTATAAAATCGCCGAACGTCGTATTCCTCGAGGTGGTCAAACTGTTCCAGCTTACTGTGTAGCTCATCAAATCTTATCAAATGGTGACGCTGTACCGTTAATGAATTCAACTGGTCAGCCTATTACTATCTATTTAAATGAGACGGAACCTACAACTTTTTCACCACTGTCGTCTCGAAGTCTTGTCTCAGACTTCTTTGAACGAGACTTGGTGGAACGAGATGGGGATGAGAGTTGTGGTTGTGTGTGGCTGGAATCTTAAACATTGATTTCACTTGGACGCGAGACGAGACTTGATTTAAAATAATTTTTGGGCGTACGTTATGAGGATTGGCGGGATTTTTGGGTTTTCAAATGGGAAGGATCCCTATTGTATATTGGACTCGGTTGGGAATGGCGTTTGGAACATGGGATGGATATGCATAGCAAGAGCAAGCCTACTTGATATTTTGCAGTATTGTCATTCGGAGCAATGGAATTTTGGATATGTAGGATTTGGGTTTGGGTTTCTAGGTTATATTATATGTTGTGGCTGTTTCTTTCTATATGTTTCTAGACGTGTTAAAATGGAGAGGACGGGGTATTTTATAGGGAATTGGTTATGAAAGAGGAGGATGTATGGCTGGATGGAGGATGAATATCAAGATTTGAATAAAGATGGGGTTTACGAAGACTGGAATGGGGAAAGAGAGTAAATGGGGATGTGAAAGGGAATGCAGATGACATTTTTTGATAACAATTAGCAATGACAATGGTAATTGATCAATCTAAATGATTGTAATGTGAGTGTGTCGAATGAGTGAGCTTCGAGTGTATGAAGATTGGAGACGAACGATTTTCGTGAGAATTACTAAATTGTCCTAGGCTAGTATTTTGATATCTAGGTATCTCTAGAGTCTACGCGCCCCCTTCCCATCTCTGATTCTTTTCAATCTGTTCTTCCCCCTGGTCTTCGAATATGAGAGGTTGCTCGCACTCATATGAAGGCATTTATTTACACATCTTGGGGGAGGAGGAGTTTATGTGTTGTTCGGATTACCTTTCTTATTAAGCAGTTCATGGACATTAGCGGATCTATATATTTCTCCTTTCTTATTCATCGTGCTAAGTAACTCACACTACCCTATCAATATCATGATATGTAAGAAAGAATCCATTACGAGATATAGCAACATAGTTTCCATATATAAATACAACGAATTCATGAACGTCTGAATCTATTCCCATACCAATATCCAACCCCCCTCACGCATCTACATCTCCTACTTAAAAAATATTGAGAAGTGAAGAGAATTCCCCTACAATTCCCGTGGCAGCAGCTGTCTCTGATGTAGCTGGTGCGCTAGTAACGCTTGAGGCATTCGTCGTGGAAGCAACATTACTTACACTTTCCTTCGTCGTACCACTCGCAAGACTACTCTGCCCACTCGAAACACTCGATGACCCCGAACCGCTCTGCGCCCCCGAAACACCACCCCGTGTCGCAGAAGCAGAGGCCATCGTCGTCATCCCACTTGTTCTCGTCGACGCCCCACTATACACACTCAACTGGCTTGAGTAACCCACCGCGCCCGCTTTATAAAACGCCGCATTCCCGCCTTCGGCGCTCACGATGGGATCTCCGTAGCCGGTCGGGATGATCATTTTGCTAATGGATGCGGGGGAGGAAATGGTGGATGTGGCGGTTGTGGCGCTGAGGGAACAGCCGATGGTGCGGATGGCGGTGGAGGACAGGGTGGAGAGTTTGGTGACGGAGCCGAGGGTGTTGGTTGCGGGGGAGACGAAGTAGATTATGTCGGTTACGGTGTTGGAGATGGAGCAGGAAATGGAATTGCTGGAGGAGGAGGAGATGGGGGAGGAGGAAGTTATGGTTCCACTTCCGGAGATTGAGCTCGAGCTGATTCCTGATGATATGGTTCCACTGGTGATAGAACCAGTCCCTGAGGATACGGGCCCAGTGCTGGTGAGAGATCCACTGGTGATGGAACCGGTTCCAGATGAAATAGATCCACTAGCCAAAGCAGAGCCAGTTCCAGAAGCCAAGGAGCCAGTGCTAGTAATGGATCCGGAGACTCTACTTATACCGGTCAATGAGCCAGATGCAGAAGTCGATGGTTGAGCAGACGTAGCTACAGAAGTAGAACTTCTACTGGGTACCAAAGGGCTAGAGGCCGTTGAGCTGGACGGCAAAGAAATCGTGGAAGACAAGACTTGAGATGTTGGGATTGAAGCTACCGAAGTAGGAATTGAGTTGGTGCTTAAAATTGAGGGTTTGGTGACAGTACTCGTGCTACTTGGTGCCACAGCCGAAGTCGAAGTCGAACTCGTCAAAGTAGAAGTAGGTTTGGTAGACGTGGATGACGTAGTTGGAATCGAAGTAGTCTTGATTGAAGTGGTAGTGGGAGCCTCAGTGGCTTTTACTGAGGTCGTAGGTGTAGTTACTACGGCCGTAGTCTTTTGCGTTGTCGCTGGAGCTGTGGGTTTCTCGGTTGTCGGTGCAGCCTCTGTTGTTTTAGCAGTAGTTTTGGCAGTGGTTTTTGCTGTTGTTTTTGCCGTTGTTTTCTTCGCGGCTCTTGCGAAGAATTTGAACAACCCTACATTTTCAAGAAACCCCTCCGAAGGTGGAGAGGTCTCTAAAACAATTGTAGATGCCACTGTAGTTAGGACATCAACAACAGCATCTGCTTGAACTCCTGGATATGCTTGAACGGCGGAGACCAAGAGCACGGAGGCAATAAGAGAATGAGAAGAAAAGTACATTTTGAAATGAAAGAATGGAAGAAACGAAAGAACTGTAAGGACTGTTATAAGAGAAGAGACTGCATAGAATGTTCAAGCAAAGTTTGAATTCAAGATCTCAAGTTGGAGTACTTCATCTTATATGATAGAGGTAACATTCGGGAATACTGATCAATATCTTGGATAGTCGTCACAATCATGTTATCGGTAGTATAAAGGATCAGGATCGTATCTATTATTGTTAGCATTTGGTTTCAATCATAAGGTAAACAATTAGGGGTCAGAAACGAAATGAAAACATAAGCAGATTTCCACAAAATAAGCAAAGCTGTTGATTATGTCAGGCGAGTCGTAAGTATTGTGGATGATATGCTGATGAACTGCGCCTCAAACGATTTAACCTTAAGATCCTACAGTATGACAAACTTAAGGTTCCTCTCGGCATTTTATGTTGTACTTCTAGAAGGATGAATTAGGATCAAATTGAAGCCATGTAGTAATGCCTTGGCATGGGCTTATTTTGGGTTGTGGGGAAATTGTACAGTGAGGAAAACGAGCCATGCAGATATAGCATATTGTGATACGACGCCCTTCAAATCGTTAGATATCATATATATTCTCTTCTTCCAAGTAATTGAAGAAGACAAATTCCTCAACACACTCATTTTTCCTATTCTTGCTTTCATAGCAATTGTCTGTCCTTACCTTGAAGTATTGAAATTCGTTTGGCATTTTCATTCCTCATTTCTCATTCATATTTTCTCAACTCTTCTAAAGGGCACTCGAACAACAAAATGCAGCTCCTACCATATCTTTTAACCACAGGCCTAATTAGCCAGGCCGTGGCCGTGAGCATGAGCAGTCGCTTCACTGTTTCATCTACTTGCTCAACCTCCAAGGTAGATGACATGTTGAGTGAAACAATCGACATGGTAGATACTGCTATTCAAGGGATTGATACGCTTCTCAATGCTGGAGTTAAACTCAACCCAAATGTTGCATCCGCTGCCATAAAATCTCTTACGAAGGCTGCCACCACCGCTTGGGGAGTTACAGAACCTAAATGGTGGTCATATTCATTAAGTGCAGCTGATACTGCTCAACTAAAAGCAGCCCAAGGTATGTACCAAAGCACAGTCTAATTCAGCAACTGAAACCCCAAATCTAAAAAATATATAGCAAATTATCAAAAGCTCCACTCAGCCTTGAATTCCGGAACTGGAATGACCCCAAGCGAAAACACATTATTCTGTGACGATTCAACATTAAAATGGACTACTGTATGCTTTATCATCACTTGAAGAGATACCCAATCTAACAAAGTCCGTAGAAAGCAATTGATATCTTCCCAGATGGAGGTACCATGACCACTGAACAGTACTGTGAGTATTAAATTAATTGTGTCATGCAGCATTAGCTAATGAAGCATCACAGTCAAGGCACAAGGTCACACCGATACCAGTGTTGTTAAAGGATTATGGAAAGATACAGACCACAAACGTGGTAAAAATTTCAATTTCATCATTGACGAATATAACGGAGGTCAAATGTGTGGAACAAAATCTGCCGAAGCCATCACATACTGGCAAACCGGAAACATGTTTATGTGCCCCAACGCATTCAACGGTGCAAACTACAAGACTAGCTTGAAAAGCATGAGAACTTCGACAGCTCAAGTTGAATGGAATGATATTCGATCACTTCCTGGAACATTCTTGCACGAAATGATGCATTTCCTCGATTTGAAACCACATGGTAAGTTTTCCTTGTACTGTGAGTTAGTTGGAATCCTGCTAACAAGAAGAAATAGTTGTCGATCAAAAAGTTACTGGTGATACTGGCGGACAAGTCGTAGCTTATGGTCTGATTGCAGTCTGGATGCTGGGTGGTAAAGCTGGAGAAGAAACTGTGGATAGGTCAAAGGCTTTGACGAACGCCGACTCTTACAATGTCTTCGCAACAATGGCATATCTCCAGTCGGCAGAATTTATTGGCTAAATAGAAGGATTGAAAAAAAAGAATGGGAGAAGGTGTAGATAGAAGGACATCGTCCAATATTCATCAGTTTGTCGGTCCTGTTTTGCTCAGGACGTTCTGCTTGCTGTGCTGTGGAGGCGGTGGCATGATCAAATATGTAGGTTAGATGATGCGCCTGTCTCGTTCGAGTAGAAACTCATAGAGCACCAGCGTGCAAACTACTAATCTCTCGAAGTTCTTGCATAGAATTTACACCAATTCATAACTTCTAATATTGGATAACAATGTATCACCGCCCCCAAGAAATTGACACATAAGACGAGCCAACATACACTTTGAAAGTCATATTTCGGGCCCACTACCTCAACCTAAAATTATCGAGCAGAAGCAAAGTAATCATGCCTGGCGGTAATAAGAAACGGAAGTATATTCAGGCGAGAGATCCTGCCACTGGCAGATATTGTGCCGCGCCCAAACCTGAACCTCCAGATCCAGCAACGGCAGCCAAAACAGTGTTCGAAGAACAGTACAATGTACTACTTGATAAAACTGTATGTTCAAACTTCCCCGACTGAATATATGTATGTATATTTCAGATCTCTGACGATCTGTTTCTAGCATCATGATAAAGAAGAGTACCTGGAGGAGTTGAAACGGGAGAAGTCCAAATTTGAGCAGAAAGAAAGGGAGGTCGAAGAACTTGAACGAGAAGTTGCAAGATTGACTGAAAACAGCAGAGATATTGACAGGCAGAAGCAGGAGCTTGAAGAGAGATTGGAACGTCTCAAAGAGGTCGAGCAGCAAAAGCAAGAAGCCGAAAAGATTAGACAAGAACAAGATAGGAGAGTAGCACATCTGCAGGAAATAGTTCGGGAACATGGTCTGGAGGAAAACAGCAACATTGCATGGGACGGCAATTTCAAAGAAAAATTGAAGAGGGAGTTTCGGGATCGACGTTCGAACTTTTACACCAGCGTTAGGGTACTAATTGTTAGATGGGCTTTGGATGATTTAGGTCTTTCTGGACCAGTCGACAATTTGGCAAAAGTATTCGAAAAATCATACAGGTTCAACGTGGCGAAGTTCACCATACCAGATGTTGATCCGGCGAATGCATTGTCTAGCCGAGTCCGAGAGTCTATAGGAGATGATTCTCCGGATACACTTCTCATCTTTGTGTACATTGGCCACGGAAACATTGAAAACAAGAGCCATGACGCTATTTGGTCCGGGTAAGCTCACGGCGTACCGCCATTGCTCTCTTCACCTAACAACAACACAGAAGATCTGGTGGTCCTGGTATGGTTTCTAGTGGTATCCAGACCCTCCTCGAGGAGTCTAAATCAGATGCCCTTCTGTTGTACGACACGTGCCATTCTGAAAATACTGCTATATCCCTCAGCCCTTCAGCAGGAAGTGTAACGGAGTTAATCGCGGCATGTGGATTTGAGGCAACTACCCGGTCGGGCAACAACTCTTTCACGGCCGTATTTACACGCGAGTTATCTTCTGCTGCAACACAAGGAGCTGTGTCGGTTTCTAGACTGTACAATCGAGTACTTGCTCGTCTGAGAAATAATCGGGACCGCAAAACAAATGCGACACCCGTTCGTTGCACGTTGGTATCCGACGACGATCGGACATCCATCATACTCGAACCGTTATTGCCACCCCCAGTCACCACGTCTCACCAGTCTTCAGAACTGTCAGATGGCGTGAATGCAGTGTACAATATTGGAATTGTAAAAAGAGGATTGAAAATGGGTGACACTTCTGGCTTTTTGGAATGGCTGTTGCGAGCTCCATCTAATGTTATCGACATCCAACTACATCGCATCCACATTCAAAAGCAAACCTCATCGATCAACGGTCACGAATCTTCGCATGATGGTCATGAGCCTTGATAGAGGTCTTCAACTCCAGAACCAACGGTATGACACGATGCCATGAAGCTAGAGTGATAGATGGTCTTTGACTCAAACTCCATAGTGTCAAGCTAGAGGATCAATCTGATCGCTGCACTTGGTAGCGCACTGATTATCCAGATATTGAAAACATCACAAGTCTTCTCTTATCAACTCCTGGTAGCTGTTTTGGTGACATTCTATAATTGCATGTGGTATGCTCTTGGGGGTTTGAGCGGCTTTCTGGAGTAATTACCAATGATAAAGTATTGTTTTAGAACCTCGGCTATTATTGTTAGGTGCAGTATTGAGGATTTTGTAATTTAAAGCCCTTCCTGTTGCACCTCTCTTTAGACGCAAAAAGGATGATAAACTGAATTCTATTAATTCAACTAAATAATTACAAATCTTCAAAAGTTTCTGTCAAAAATTTCTTGCATTCACGTGATTGATATATTTAGGCTTCTTCTCTGCTATTACAGCACAACCTAAACCCAGGCTCTCACAACAACCATAACTCACTAATTCATTAAGCATGGCGGATAGCACACAGCCAGACCGCGAACACGGTCGGAGAAGAGATTCACGTTCCAGATCACCTAGGCGACATCATTCACATTCTCATCGGAGACGATCATCACATAGTAATCATCATCGAAGCAAACGACCGACCGAAGCAGTACCAGAACTTCCATATAATTGTAGGCCGATCACGAAAAATGATTACGAGACATTCAAACCAATGTTTGCATCGTATTTGGATATTCAGAAAGGCATATTTCTGGACGAGTTAGGGGAAACAGAAGTCAAAGGGAGATGGAAGAGTTTCCTTGGAAAATGGTAATCGCGAATTCTGGCTTCGGCCCAAGAAGGTCTTGGAATACCGGCTAACATGTGTGAGGAATCGTGGAGAACTTTCAGAGGGTTGGTATGATCCATCAACATTGCGAAAAGCCCAGGAGTCAGCAAGAGAATACGAGGAAGAAATAGCTCGAGAGTCAAATCCGGTCCAATCGAACGAGCCTCCGTCGACTTCGAGTCAGCGCGAACCCGAACAGAAAAACCATGGAGCAGAAGACGACGGAGATGATAGTGATGATTCAATGGGACCAACGTTACCAGGGGAGATTGATAAATCTAGAAGGAATAGATCGGGACCCAATATACCGAATATGGAAGATTTAGAGCTTAGGAGAGGTATTTACACAGGCCAGTGATAATTAGAAGAACCGCAAAGTCTAACTGTTTCGCAGAAATGGCTCTTGAAGATGGATTAGCGCGCCGCGACGACATAAGGTTTGAGCGGAAAATTGATCGCAAACAACAAAAGGAAGCACTGGATGAGTTGGTCCCTCGTGCTGAAGCTGGGACACGAGAACGGCAATTGGAAAAGAAGAAAGAAGTGAACGAAAAGATGAGATCGTTCAGAGAGAAATCTCCTGGTGCGGCAGAAGTTCCGGATACTGAGTTGATGGGCGGCGATGAAGGAATTGAAGGATTTAAGAAAAAGAAAGAAGAATTCCAGCGCAAGAAGAATGAGAGAGAGTTGAGAAAGGAAGAAATCATGAGAGCCAAACAAGCCGAAAGAGATGAGAGGCTACAGGAGTACAAACAAAAGGAGGATGGGACTATGGCTATGCTCAAGGCTTTGGCTAAGCAGAATTTTGGATGAGCGCATTCAATATGGTTAACAGGACAGAAGGAATTCATACGGCTTTGGGAAATCAAGTCTTTGCGATTCTCTATCAAATGAACTGTATTAATACCTGCCTTCTCACCAGAATCCATCGTCATGTTTGAGAGAATCTCATTTCTCATTCAGCCTTGTGGTCCACAGCCTTGTGAATGCCGAGTCGGATAAAATAAATCTATCACTTCACTTCACATCCATCTCAACACAACACAACACAATACAATCAATTCAACCTACATCAATGCGACATCTCTCCCAATAATCTGTCTGTGTTGCTGACCTGTAGGATTATTTGATATCACAAATATATCAGATGGAGTAATCAATCGCCGTACCCGCCTGAAAGTAAAGTATTGACAGGGGCGAGGCTGCCATCATGGAAATCATTAGGAAGAGGATGATACACACTGGACTGAGGGTTAATCGTCTGCGTTGTTTGAATGAAGTCAATCGTAGCTCTAACCTATTTCGCCACTCAATAAGCACAACGACAGTTCGAACTGCGAAACAAAAATCCCAAATACCCAAAAAACCTTCCAGACCTCAACAGCAATACAAGTAGAGCTTCCACCTGAGCATACCGTGCGAGATTTCCTGCTAACCCCCCTGCAGAACTCCAAGTCCAAGACAAGTTTTGGACCCTGCTCCACCCCCTCCTTCCCCTCCACCATCAGCGAAACAACATCCACTTCGAGGCAGGAAATTCGCCTTAATAGGAAGTAGTATCGCTGCTTTGATATTTGCTGGCTACTCTTCCTATTTATTTGTTCTACTCAATAAGGAGCCTATCGAATCTTCTTCCTCTGAAGTTCAAGCTGATGTCTCATCCCGCTATGACACCATTGCGTCTAAATTTGATTCGGAAGTTGACTGGACAGAATGGAGTATGGGAATCACAAAGATGCGCAAAAAATTGGCGCAAGAAGCACATGGAGATGTACTCGAAGTATCTATTGGTACAGGCAGGAATTTAGAGTATTATGACTGGGATTTCAAAGGATTCAATGGTGTTGGGAAACTCCAAAAAGTGGGTGGTATTAAGAAGGGGAAAGTCAAGAGTTTTACGGCTGTTGATAAAAGTGGTGAGATGTTGGAAGTTGCCCATGAAAAGTTCTCGACAATGTTTCCAGGGGTCTTGGGTGTGAGATGGATAATTCAAGATGCTTCCGAGAAAATACCAGGCCCCCCTCGAAATGCAAACGAAACAAGCGGGAATAAAGACGCGAAATATGATACGGTCATTCAGACTATGGGATTGTGTTCCGCTGCTGATCCGGTACGACTATTGAAGAATCTAGGAGAGTGCGTGAAAGAAGATGAAGGGCGCATATTATTGTTGGAGCATGGAAGAGCAAAATGGGATTGGCTAAACAGAGCCTTGGACAATAGTGCAGAAGGGCATGCAAAGCTTTTCGGGTGTTGGTGGAATAGAGATTTGGGAAAGATCGTCGAAGAGAGTGGGCTTGAAGTTGTGAATATTAAAAGACGACATGGTGGAACGACCTGGAGGATTGAGTTGAAGAAGCCCAAAGCCATACCAAAAGACAGTGGCGTGGAAGTTGCGACAGAAGAAAAGACACAGGAGGCAACTAGAAAAAGATGGTGGTAAATATCAATCGAGGTCGCCTTCCTTTGCACTCCTCTCTCTCACTGTACCAACATATCAACGAATTACAAACATATGCGCTGGAGTTGTCGTATTGTCAGAAGGCGATATCATAGTAATCGTCCGATGTTCTGCAGGATTTGTACCCATGCTGCAGTAGCTATGTCCATGCTTATTGGTTGCCACCAATCGCTCTTTTCTCAACTGGCCACCCTACACTGTTCAGCCGGCACAACCGAACGAAAATGACAATCGAAGGAGGCCAGATGTCTGAACAAGAATGGTGAGTACGAAATTGATTTTAGAAGTCTAGATGATTCAACTTCTCCTTGGGTTTCTCTCAAATCTCGACATCATTCAGAACCTTGGGCTACTCACATGTTTAGCAAGATCAGCAGAATGTCAATTGACGTCCTTGTCCATACGCCGCAGACGTTATGCGTTATCCCCTGTACGGAGATCCCGCTGATGACGTCCGTGAGTTCTAGAAAATTATCGTTATAATTACATGAACTCAGAGCTTCCTGGATCTTTGCCCGGTAAGACGATTATGATTTCGATCGCCACGTTAACGAGTTGGGATGCCATGCAACCTTCAAGTTTCACAACCATTCGTTTTACCCTTATCTTCATTCGCATAATTACGATTTACAAAATGATACATTCTCATATCTAGCCATCACGTGCCAGGGGTCTAGATAGGGCGTTCCCCGGCCGGAGAGTAAGGTTACAGTATAGTGGATCTTTACTAGTCCGTTTAACCCTTCACGGTCCCGTGTCAGTGTGTTAATGTGGAAACTAAAATCAGTTTAACAAAATCCTTTTACATAACAACTTCCTTGACTTGCTACAAACATGCATGTTGATCATCCAAAGGCGCTTGACTATTTCCTTCTTGTCATTCTCTTATCATTTTGCGGGGTCGACAACCTTGTACGTACGCGGTGGGTAAAGTATTGCCTTCTGGGTATTACTCGTATCTCTTCCAATTTAGATAGTGAGAAATATGTAAGTTAGATATCTCTCTGTCGCTTTTCCTGCTTCTTTCTTCCTGCGTATCTTCACCTCTTCTCTTAATTTTCTCTTTCACATTCGGTAGTCATGCCTCATCATCATGATGCCGACGCCGATGCGGCTCAACTGGCTGCTCATGGTCACAAACAAGAATTGGAACGCAATTTCTCTTTGCTTTCTATGTTAGGTCTAGCATTTGCAATTCTTAATTCTTGGACTGCTCTAGCTGCAAGTTTAAGTGTTGCATTACCAAGTGGTGGACCGACTTCAGTACTTTGGGGACTGATTAGTAAGTTTATTTTCAAATCCGTATTCTATCTACGGACTTGATGCTGATTATGGTTTGAACAGCCGCCGGAGTATGTAACTTATGCCTTGCCGTCTCTCTTTCCGAATTCCTATCCGCCTACCCAACAGCAGGTGGTCAATATCACTGGGTTGCTGTCATAAGTTGGAAGAAATATGTTCCTATTCTCAGTTGGACCACTGGATGGATCAATGTTTCCGGCTGGATTGCACTCGTCGCCTCGGGTGGTCTTTTAGGCTCTCAGTTAATAGGAGGAGTTATTTCACTCATGCACCCAAATTATGAACCACAACGTTGGCATCAATTTCTCCTCTACGTCGCATACAATATCATTGCCTTTGTCGTCAACGCATTCATGACATCGCTATTACCTCTCATCACGAAATCGGCATTCATCTGGTCGATTTTCGGATTCGTCGTGATTTCTATTACCGTTTTGGCAACAGCTTCTCCAGATTACAACGACGCATCTTTCGTCTTCACCGACTTTATAAATAGTACAGGATGGCCTGATGGAGTTGCGTGGCTTCTTGGTTTGCTCCAAGCTGGTCTTGGGTTGACTGGTTTCGATGCTGTCGCTCACATGATTGAAGAGATTCCAAACCCCGGAGTTCAGGGTCCAAAAATTATGATTGGATGTGTTTTGATCGGTGTCTTTACAGGATTCATATTCCTTATGGTCCTGCTCTTTGTAGGAGGTGATGTCAACGATGTTATTGAAAGCGCTGCAGGCCCATTACTTCAAACTTTCTACCATGCAACTGGTAGCAAGGCCGGAGCTATCTGTCTCCTCATTTTCCCACTCGTCTGCCTTCTATTCGCGACCATCTCCATCACTACAACCTCCACGCGTATGACATATGCGTTTGCTCGCGATAACGGTCTTCCTTTCTCAAGAGTCTTTTCTAGAGTCCATCCAAAGTTGGCTCTTCCACTAAATGCATTGTACCTTACAATGGCATGTGTATTCCTCTTTGGACTCATTTTCTTGGGTAGCTCATCGGCTTTCAATGCAATTGTTAGTGCCAGTGTTGTGGCTTTGGGTGTCAGTTATGCCATTCCTGTCGCAGTCAATTGCTTGAGGGGGAGAAAGTGTTTACCGGAGACGAGAGCATTCAAGTTATCGGAACCAGTGGGTTGGGCTTGCAACCTGGTGAGTTCTCTCTAATCTGCTGATCATACTATTGGGACAATGTATGCTAATGAGACAAATAGGTTGGCATTGCATATGTGATGGTTACCACAGTTCTATTCCTCTTCCCACCCGAATTGCCAGTTACAGGAAGCAATATGAGTATGTTCCATCCCCCTATCTCCCATCTTAATTTCTACAATACTAACATATCACACAGATTACTGCGTTGTAGCTTTCTTCCTCGTCTTCGTCATCGCAGTAGTGCAATGGTACGTCGACGGCAAGCAAAACTTCACAGGTCCAAGGATCGATATGGATGCTATGCAACATGGGGAAGTGGTGGGGATAGTGGTTGGTGATGAAACTAGTGGAACTCCTAGTGCGGATTTTGGGGATGTAAAGGAAGTCAAATGAACTTGACGCTTTACGATAGGAACACTTACATTTGCATTATACATACATCAAGTCAAAGATGTACAATATTTAGACAAAAAATACGAAATTATGAAATAATCCGAAAAAAAAAAATCGCGAGCATGAAAGACGCGTATGCTGGCTGATCTTGTGCCGTCACTCCGGATGATGTGGAATTTTTATTATTTATCAATTCATCGTTCATCAACAGTCAAACTTAAAGCCAAGCCGAAGGTAAACGGCAGTGCCCGAGAATGGGGGTTTCCGAACCTGGGAGTTCCAGGGCTTCAAGGCTTCAGGGCTTGGCAGGTGTACAGGCTGGGTATGTGGGGCCGGATAGATGGAGTTTGTGGGGTAATATTCGGGAAGAGAGAACTTTATGTCTTGGTGGCTTGGGAGCAGGAATGAGTACCGAGTCATGAGCCGTGGAGGTGATAGGGGTGTTGGGTGTGAGGGGGGGGGCAGTTTTGGTTTGGGGATGATTTAGAGGTTTCGGGGTTTCTGGGGAGGAAACGGAGGGAGAGACGACTTGGTACATGAGACGGAGATTGGGAAGTGGGAAGTGGGATACCATGTCTTGATATAAGAGTCGTGGGGAAGTTTGGGGGGCGTCAGAGGGCGTGGTTGAGGATTGGATGTTGCGGGAGTCGCGAGTGGTTCTCTTTGGGAAACTAACTTGCAAGTGGTGGAAGAACGGTTTCGTTACGTCACTTGCCTGTACGCTCAACATTGGCGTTAGAAGGAGCCAGAGTTTGACGTGACCATTAGTCAGTCAATTGATGCTATTTTGATCTGGTCGCTGATACGAAGTGACAGCCTGCTCTAGGAGCGGTACCTGGATATCTCTCCACATACCCGTTTATACCGTTTACGCCGTGTCAGTTGAGACTAGATTAGTGAGAATATGTAACCTTTACAAATGATTAACATAAGTGGGATTGCCTGGTCAACAGCCTAGTCGAACTTCCACTAGGATTCACCAATGAGAGTGAATTAGCAATGCGAATATAGTCATCCAAATCTGGAACAAAACTCGGTTCTGGACCCAGAAATATAGGATGCTTAAACGTGACGAGGATTGCGATATCATGATGAGTTGATCGGGACGTGAGTTAACCTCTATTATTTCTAGAGATAAAAGTGACAGTGGCACCGAGTAATAGAGAACTATCAACTAATTCTTAGAGACTATTATCTGTTATTAATGGGCCGAAGATAAAGAATACCTTCCATAACTCTCTAGCTAGGAATTTGCAACAACATATTTCGAGGTAGTATAAACTTTCGTCTAGGTTCTCACCGTAGACCTCGATTCGTCGTATTTCCGGCAGAAGAGTGTGGAGCGTAGGAAGCTTGCAGCAAGCATATCTTGATTGAAATTGGTGGATCCATCTACGTGTGCGGTGAATGCGGGCGTGTGTTATTGGGCAAATATCCCGGGTGCATATGATAATAATCATCCGGCTTGCCAGTTGTAGTAATACCACGCCCTTCGAAGTATCTAAGAATAGTAATTCCAATAGAGTCTAGCGTGCCTTTGAGATGCTCTAGCGAACTAGAAGGCTTAGCTATCAAATGAAACAGGAGGGACGAACATGGTAGCCGGGAAAATGATAATAACATCGTTATGTTTGTAAAAATACGAAGGTTTTTGGTGAATAATCTAGCCACCTGCCCTTGAGGTGCTTTGTCCAATATGTACTTTCAAGAACATAAGCGATGCCACCTTCTCTCCGGCAAAAGAATAACGAGATCATGTTACACCCGAACAAACATGGGACTAATTACACCTCCAGAGGTGGGCTTTCATATACACCAGTATTTCGAGACATGTGACTATTGAGAGCTTAAGCTTTTGCCTCCAGAGCTTGTTTTGAATCTTTAAGGAAGTCAAATCTGCACTTGCAGCTGCTAGCTAATCCTAGAAAGTATCAAGAGACGAAAGTCGGAGCCAAATAACAAAAGCCACTCAGAACCCTTATGGACTGATGAAGTAGTGACCAATGTCTACTTTTCAAATCATCCTATGAAAGGAATGTACCGGTATCATCGAGACAGACATATGCAGGCTCCGATTGTGTACATGGTTTGAGGAGCAGCCATTTCTTCGTAGGACCCTATTCTATGAATCTCCTCATGGAGATTGGATGATGTGCTTAGTATCAATCGGCTACAGTATCCAAAACCACATGAGGTCATCTATCAGTAACATGCGCAAGCAACGGCGCAGTGGCAGCAAGACAGAAGCCATTCTCGATCTAGAAATGAGCTCATGAAATATATCGATATCACTTCTGTTCGCGATTGTTCGCATTCGTGTGTTAAAACTGTGCACTGGTATACAATTTCGCTGAAGAGCTATTGCATTGGTATTGTTGAGAAAGTTGATTCCTTACATGAAATCATGATGTTGTAGTGCAGCATGAGTTGTGTTCTAGATTTGAAGGTATGTAAAATTAGCGATCGCTAGCCTATGACAGTGTATAACAGGTTTCCTTCCTTTCCACCTCAAATATTCATACAACATTCAACCACGACAACCTCTTAGGCAACAACAATCACATTGACAATGGACGACGATGATGATTTCGGTGCAGATGCAGATTTCCTGACAGCTCTCGCACAAACCCCTGTTACAGCTCCATCTACAAACCGCGTTCAACAACCTACCCCGCAACGCGTCCAACAGCCTACTCCACAGCGTCTTGATCGAGCACCACCAACAAATAATGCCTCCGCAGGTCCCAAAATTGTTCAACCAATTCCACAGGCTATCGCATCGCGCTCTTCTGGCTCGACAATTCAAGTATCTCTGCGGCAGAAAGGAAATCCAATACTGATAAATCTCAAATCGTTTCCATGGGAATACTCAGATATCCTAGCTGATTATGTGCTTGGTACAACAACATGCGCACTCTTCCTATCACTCAAGTACCACCGATTACATCCCGAATATATATACAATCGAATAAAAGGATTACAGGGTAAATACAATCTACGAGTACTTCTTACAATGGTTGATATTGGAAATCATGAAGAGAGTTTAAAGGAATTATCCAAGACAAGTTTGGTGAATAATGTTACCGTCATACTATGCTGGTCAGCTCCTGAGGCTGCACGATACCTTGAGTTATACAAGAGCTACGAACATGCAAATGCTAGTGCTATAAAGGGTGTTGAAAGTAAGAGTTATGGAGATAAAATGGTAGATTTCATTACCGTTCCAAGGAGTATCAATAAACGAGACGCGGTGGCATTGGTAGATGCATTTGGAAGTATCAGAGGTGCTATTAATGCAAGACCTGAGGAGATTGCTGTTGTTGATGGTTGGGGAGAGAAAAAGGTTAGAAAGTGGTGCGGGGTTGTTGATGAACCATTTAGAGCGCGAAAAGCAGCTCGTAGGGGTTTGGGTAGGAAGGAAGTAACGCATGATGGGACGGGGCGGCCAGAAGGAGTTTTAGATCGTGCTATACCTTTGAGTCGTGTTCCTTTAAGGGAAATGAGTTCATTGGGAGGAAAATCTACTGAATCCCCACATCGAAGTCAAAATCTTGCCGAGGAACGACAGGATGAACGAATACCAGGCGATGATGATGAAGAGGCTGCAATCTCGGCCGCTCAGCAAGAAGAAGAAAAAGCAGCCGGAGAGAAAAAGAAAGAATTGGCGAGAAGAGATGAAGAGCTCAGTGGAGGGGTCGCTGCAGCTTTGGCAAAATTACGAGAGAAGCACTGAAACATTTGAAAGCAAACATATTATATCTTTATATGTTCATCTACATTGAACATCTCTGGCCGGCAAAGGTAATTCTATATCACATTTGAACGCCTCGGAGAGTTATTTGGCCCGAGTCACATTTTAGTTGGCTAGCCTACCAATTCACAACTGCGTCAGATGCAGATTTGACGATTTTCATGCTCTCGATAGTATCTGTTCTATATGCGCACCCAGATCTTATACATTGCTAGAGATAGAGCATAGATCAAACCAATCAATTTATTGCACAAAGTTTACATTCAACGCAGCTCTATCATGGCACCGGGACGTTTCATAGAAAAACTCTGTGGACTTGCGAAAGTTCCTTTTCCTGGAACAGTCATGTAATACTGGCTTCCTTGGTTTGAGCATGGCGACCAACTTTGTGAAGGTCGAAATAAATTCTCTCCTTTCTCCAAGTATTCCTCCGGACTTTGGAAGAATAGCATCATGTTCATTCCTCTCCTCAGACTCTACGCTTCATTTTCCGTATTGTCTTGACTAAGGGACCTTGGCGCCTTTTAGCTGACATCTCCCTTCCTTAACCGTTTCACCTGGGCCAAGTAATTCTCTTTCATAGATCGGAAAACTTCTTGGGTTGTGCCATTCATACTATAAGGCATGGGGTACTGCAAAACTCTCATTCGTCCATCTCTCAAATTCCGGGTATAAATCCATCCAGATACTTCGCCTCGAAGTTTAATAGAGATTTGCATATGACTTTTTTCTTGGTGGGAATCTTCGCAGTGCTAGCGGGATGGTTTCAAATTCTTAATAGTGAAAGTATCTACATTGGTGTGACCGGCAATAGGAAGTTAAGGGCCAACCGTGCATTCTGCATATATGACTGGTCTTCTCCAGAGTTCTCAGTAAGCTTCTCATCAAGTCATACGTCTTGCTAATAGTATCTATCCGGCATAAACTTCGACATTTTTCCCGTGTAGATTTCTGCTACTCGTTATCTGAGCCTCGTTCTTGGATCTGCGCTTCTGAGAACGCCTCCAAAACCCAATGCTCCAGTTTCTACCACCTCTATAGCCAATTTATACAAGAATGAGAGGATACATTCACAAAATTCTCATTCATTTTTGCTTGCTTGTCTGATTAACGAATTTTAGATCAAGCAACCTAAGTTTTACAAAGGTATCTCATAAGCTGGTAGATGGTTCTTTGTCTCATTCAAAGCGGACTTGATGAGACTGAACATTCTTTTTGATTGAATGTATTCAGTATGAAATGGTCATAGGCGAAATTGAACTCTTTGTTCCTATCGGGAATCATTCTTGGGTATCCTAGTAGACATCAATTGCTTAACATCATTGCTGTATCTCTAGAACTTTAACATATGAATCGAATCCCCCAAACTTAACAATAACAAATCATGCAAAAGACTTGATATGTTTGTCAACAATGTCGCAAATCGTGCCAACCCGCGCCTTCCACCCCTTCCACCACTTCCACCCGTATTTGGACTAGATGCTTTCGAAATCGAAATCCCAGAAATCCCAGAGACAACATCTGGACCGGGATGGTACTGGTTTGGTCGGGGGACAAACGACAATGATGTAGCTTCCAAGAGTATTGCTACATTACAAAATAGAAATGCGCATCTACGAAGGGAAAATGGACGATTGCGGAATGTAGGTGAATCGTGGCAAATGGAAGTCGGACGACTACGAAATCAAAATGTCAGACCGGACGGAGAAGCCGATCGACAAAATCAGATTATCGAGGAACTACGTGGTCAATTAGCCGAATTAGGGAGACGAAATGAGCAACATACGCAAACTATTCAAGGACTTAGAGAACAGGTAGAAAAGCTGGGGGAAAAGGATCAGACAATTGAGGGATACGAAACCGAATGTCTGAGACAAGGAGGGAGATCGATTCACACGCACAAACTATCCAAGGACTCAAAGATCAGATAGCCAAAGCGGGCGAGAAAGATCAGACGATTGAGGAACTAAGAGTCCAAATGTCTGAGGTAAGAAGGGAGAACGATTTGCATGCACAAACTATTCATGGCCTCAGAGAGAAGGTAGCCAAAGCAGGTGAAAAAGACCAAACAATGGAGGAACTACGAATTCAAATGTCTGAAGTAAGAATGGAGAAAGACTCACATGCCCAAACCATCCAGGAACTCGGGGAGAAAATAGCCGAACTACTTAACAACCCAACCATCGACGACCTCCGAACTCAAGTAACCACCCTATCAGAAACCATCGAACAAAAAGACCAGGTCATCAAAAACCTCCACAAGCAAATAACCATCCTAACCGAACAACACAGCAAACAAGTAGACGAGCTCCGCGAACGCATCACCACCATCTCGAACGAGAACGACGAGCGCGTAAACATCATGTCGGAACTGCGCGTCAAACTCACAGAAGAACTTGAAAAAACCATGAAGCAGGAATTCACCATTTCCTCTCTCCGCAATAACTTGGCCACCGAGGCCGAAAAATGCGAGACTCATCGGCTCTGGGCGGAGCGACAACACGAGACGGAAATGGAAAAGGCGCAGTATGAGCTAGGCGACTTGAAGGTGCAGATTGCGACGCTGAAAGTAAGATTGAATACCATGGAGAAGGAGGAGTTGAGGTTGGCGAAGTTGACGGGGGCTCAACAGCCTCCTGGAGGGAAGTGATACGATACTGTGTATATAGTTTGAAGTGAAGATTGGGCGACGGGGTATGAAGTCATGAATGAGTCTGGTTGTGTAGATAGATTAGGTTGTGAACTATCTAGTTCGGACAAGAACATTTCGAATTTTGTGACTATGTAAGTAGCATCGACAGCTGAACCGGAATGCATCAGAACTCGAAATCACACCCAAAAACTGCAGAGAAAATACTAGATCATCACCATCACCTCTTTCCTTCCCCTCGACAAGTAATTCTGGATCCTGCTCCAAGCTATCACTCTCACGATCTGACACTTTATAATATCAAAAACTCCCAGCCAGTCAATCAGTCAAACATCGTCTCCGTAGCTCCAAGAGATACTACCGACTCATGCCTAGGAGAATTTAGAAGCCCCATGACGGTACATGCAACGTGCACCCAATTCAGTCACTGTAATATGAAAACACGAAATCTCTTCAGTACCGAGAAGGTGATCAGATACTAGGCCTATCTATACTATATTGTTCTTTCTTTCTAGTGAACTCCACACGCGATCATGCAGAATTAGCATGAATGGATCCGTAGGGAGAGTATGGGTAGTGAATATATATATATGTGTGTGTGTGTGTATTAAGAGGGAGAAGTAGCAAGCAAATCAACAAAATCATCCCATGAGATTGCTTCATGGGATGTGAGATTTAAGAGATCGATAAACCACCACAACAGGGTTTCACATTACAGATCCGAGATCTGAGGTTAGTGTTAGTGTGAGTGTGAGTGTTAGATTGCAAGATCAATTGCTCTCGCTCTCGGATATAGCTTTTTGTGTGGAGTTAAGGATGTGGGGGGTGGTGATATCTAGTGATAGTGATGGAGGGGGAGATGGTGATAGAGAGAATGTGTGTGTATGAGAGTAAGTGAGTGAGTAAGTGTGTACATATCTATGGATGATAATAAATCATGTCCATTGGACTTTTCAAACATAATCCACTCATCTCAGAAGAATAGTATGCAATGACCTGATAGCATGCAGAGTCAGACAATAAGCGTTTGCTAGAACGAGAGTGCAAACTCTCAAGTGGAGGAATCGAGGTTATGGTTCTTCATGTTTTCACTCATCAGATCCTTGCTTCTTACAACTAACTCATTGATTCATCTCGACTTTTTCACAGGCTATAAACATCTCCCTTGAAGGACACACACATATCAAGAATCAGAGACATTTTCATGAGATTTTAATTTTTGGTCATGAATTCATTTTATTTCAACTTCCTTCCCACTTCATTCACTACAGTACTACATACAAAATGAACCAACCCCTTGCTTTCTCCACGAACATCTATAATCCCAAGCCCCATACCTCTCAATCAATATAAACAAACACAAACACCATGCTACCGAGTCAATACTTCCGGATCAATACAGCATCAATCCGCTTCCGTTCATTCATTCCCTCCCATTCGTCCCGCCCTTTATGTCGATTGACATTCAAATCTTAAATCCAGCGCCCAAACCTAAAAAAACGCCATAGACTCAACCTAAAGAACCCCAACCTGGTCAAGTCATCAATCCTGGACCATCCATGGTATGACATTGGTGCACCTAAAACAAAGGATATCGCTCAAAAACTCCATGCAATGCAACCTTTCCCTTTCCACTTTTCAAATCCACTCGTTCGCTTCACCTACCCCAATAATTACTTTCCATCACTTCTTGTCGTTTATAAAAAGCATCGCATCGCGTCGTACCGCACCACAAAACATCCATTCAACGATGCTCGAATAACTTTTCCGGCACGAGACAAAAAGTCATCACATCGTTTTTCGTAGCCTCGCAGATAAATAACTCCTCTCAATCCGAGATTGATCCTGTATCCACAACCTCTAACCCATCCACCGCATTACCTCCAGTCCTTCCTGGCTCCCAGCCTTCCATTTCATCCCTTCCATCTTCCTTGATCAAGTCCAATAGCACCATACTATTCTTCTTAATCCTCTCGGGTCTATCCACAATTCCCCGTTCAAGAATCAAGGCTTCAGCTGTCTTGGCCCATAATTCATGTAGATCAGGCACACCTTCCACCAGTAATCCAAGTACTTCTCTTCTTAATGGACGCATTGGTGGACCTTCTGAAAGACTTGTTCTCCATACCAAACTATCATCCGATAGATTTCGTCTCGAGGCTATACAGTTTGATTTGTCACAGAACCATTCAGTACACCCCGAGGAATCGTGACCTGATGTTTCGGACGGAGAATGAGCCATAGGCTGGGGTGCCTTCTTTCTTCCTAGATGAGTGAATTTTGACATCTTGAATTTCGGTGCAGCGGTGCTAGGTTCGACAATTGGGAAACGACAACTTTGAAGAGAACCATACCATTGGTCGACGGCGGCTCTCCTCGCATTGTAACCTTTTGTTTGCCAAAACTTTTCGGCTTGTTGGAGTCCGCCTATAGTGAGGATGGCGGAGTAAACTTCGTCAGGTGGTCGATCCTTCAAATAACCTCTGATTGATCTCTCCACTCTTCCAACATATGAAGGAGGCCTTAATCGACGAGAAAATGATGACATGAATAAAGGAAATACCTGATGGACATACAATAAAGTTCTGTCATCATACATGTTCATAGCAAAAGTCTCGAATGGATTAAGTGTGTATGGAAGTCGAGTTAAAGGCGCCCCGCGTCTTTCAAGATGTGAAGCATATACTTTTCGGTAAGTTTCGAAGAAATGAAAGATTGTAAAGATGAGAGGGATTAATCTTTGACGCATCCTTTCATATTGAGGTTGGAATTCCAGCACTTGAGCTTCAGTCGTCCGTAGGAATATCTCTTTTCGAGCTTGTAGAGAGATCAAGGTAGATAATTTTGATGCGACATGTAATCGATGCCATATTCCAGCGAGATAGTGTAAGTTCAGCTTCGCAGCCTCTGGCAAGGGAAACAATCGTATGGTATAACCAGGTAGTGTATGGGTTGCATGATATCTCGCGATTGGTGCTTCATTTAGTGTAACCAAAGCATGAAATGATCTCGAAACTTGTCGCAAGTCAAGAATTGTATGAATTGGCAAAGGTGAGATAATTTGAGCTTGTAATTCGGTTGGGAGAGTGAGGAGAAGGTCGGAGAGAGAAGCACTATGTCTGTCAGCAATTTATCCCAATGTTCACAAGAGAACCTAGTTTCTTGAAGGTTACCTTTGTCTTTCAATCCTTTCTTGGATTATGTCTGGGTGTGTTTCGACGATTGATGGAGCTCGATGGGTAATGTTCACTTTGGATCTTAGAGCACCTAATGAACCACTGAAACTTGGTCGACGTTGTGTTCGTAAAGAAGTGAGGTCGTGTCCGAGTGAACGTTTTCTTTGATCGCTAGATCGGAAAGCCGAATTCTCATGATTGGCATTTTTCTGCCTCGAAGGTAAATTGAAGGTAGCTGCGTCTAATGGTGATGGTTCATGATTAATTGGAGGGGTCGACAAAGAACCAATCTGTGAATGTTGTGTTGTGCCAGTTGCAGTCCCCGTCGAAGTTGAAGTCGCAGCAGCAATAGATCCAGACCGGGAGCCTGATCCTGATCCATTCTCAGCATGCCCATGTCCATTCCTATCATTTTGTCGTAATTTATCGAAATATCGCTCCGACGCGAATTCAGTAAGATGAAGTGGTTCCATTTCTTCCCCTACGCTTGGTCTTTGGTACCAATAGGTCGTAGAGTTGAAGTTCTTTGTGAGTGTTTAATCATATCAAGATTTATGAACGGCAGTCTTGGAGAGAGAGGGCCGCCCAAGTTGCGCCGAGTTGAAATAAAGTTGAGGAAACGACGTCGCACGATTGAACTTCATGCATTATTGAAAACACCAAGTTGAAGTATTTGATGAAGTCAACAAGATCAATTCAAGTTATTGAAGAGAGGTAGTGAAGTTTTTTGTATGGTTTTTTGGTATGAATCGAAAAGTTTGGTAAGATGGGTGGTTCTTGAAGAGGTGAGAAGATAGTTTGAAAGGTCGAAAGTCGAAAGTCGAAAGTTGAGAGTTGAGAGTTGAGAGTTGAGAGTTGAGAGTTGAAGGGTGGGAGAGGGTCGAAGGGTCAAAGAATAAAGGGATTGGGGTTGAGATCGGAGTCAAATTGAAGAGAGTACCGAGATAATAACTCTTGTACCTAGGTATCCTATCTGCCTATATAGATTATGGTATGATTGATACATCCAAAGTCCAGACCGATATGTTATGCTGTAATGAGAAATGAATTTGATCCGAATTAAGCAATATCTCTCTCTCCCTCTTTGTCTGTTTGGGGGCCGAAGAGAAACAAAAGTGTGATTATTTCGATTCGAATTGATCTGATTAATATTGCCAATGTGACCTTTTCCCGGATAACTTTGCAATGCTGAATATATAGAGAAGGAAGTACAATATCTGTACTATTCCCACCACAAACCCAAGTAGATGACTTCTGATACTGGTTTAATGTTGTAGGATGTTGAATTGGTAAGACAGATGCTCTATGAATCCTGGTGCTCTCTGCTCTCGGTGTGTGTTTTTCTGATTTTTTCCGTTGTCGAGTGGTGGATTCAAGTAGCCATGGACTCCAAGGTAAATGTCCGGACTTTCCCTTGGTAGATACAGAGAGGCGAATGGAGAAGAAGATGAGAAGGTGGAAGTGGAAGTGGAAGTGGAAGTGGAAGTGGGAAAAGGGAGAAAGGGGGAAGGATGAACAACGAACGACCAACGAACGAAGGAAAATCTGGACCTTTCTGTCTCTCTGTCTCACTCTCTCTCTCCTACTCTCCTACAGAGTAATAAGTGTGGAAGGTGTGACGGCTGAGATGGATTGATGAGATAGTTGGGTGAGATAAGTTTCTCTTTCTCTTCTCGTCTCTTCCCAGAGAGAAAGGGACTAAGAGGAATTCGGTATATCGGGGGAACTAATGAAGGAAATAGATGGGGATTATGGGATTGTGGGATCTTGAAGGGATAGACAGCATAGACACGTTTTCCCCTTGACGTTTTATGATTTTCTCAT